TTCTATGCTCTTCGTTCCAAACTTGGTGTTGGTCTGCCACCCAACACAAGTTTGAGGGGGTGTATGAGACAAAACCAACAAGTTTTGCTCTGTTCTACACAAACACGTAATGGGCTTACTAAAGATCAGTCCAATAAGAGAAAAGAAGAAGGCCTCACGAGTAAAACAAAGCCCACAAGGTTCAGTTCACAAACTCTGCATCAAGACATTAAAAACAGAGAATCGCTCCAAACCTGCAACATTTGTACAGTCAAGCCTGCTCACCTAATAAAGCTGTGCAACCGTTACGTTCCTCTCAAAGCTCAGGGCATTAAATGCAGCTAGTCATAAGTCGTGTAATGATAGCTCACCTTCTGCTTTATGCTTCATGTCCTCTATATAAACAATAACAATGTAATCTTTTGGATTAAGTTGAATAAAGGTTTTTCACCATTATTGTCTTCTTCAAGCTTTTCTCAAGATCTTAAAAGATCTTTCAGTTAGGAGATGTGACTTTAAACTCTCGTGTTTAAAGATTGGCAGAGATGCCATGCCACTTATTCTAATAGATCCGATCGAACAATACATAAATATCGTTTTAGAGTTTAAATTTTGTTTAACGAAAATGCATATATATATTTTACATTTAATAGTTATAAGGAAACGATCTTGTATTAACAAAGGATAAATAAAAAAATTTCAAAAAAAAAAAAGATGAATTAGACAATCTTGAAAGTGATACAAATATCCATATCTGGCTTATTCGTGTATAAATAACAAGCACATAAGAGTTTGGCGTTTTATTGATAGTTTGATACACAAATAAAGTGTGTGTGGTTGGTTAGCTTTGTTCTCTGATTTTCAAAACTTGTGAACGAGCAATATTGATTCAAAGTGGTACGTAGAAGCGATTTAGACAATCTTGAAAGTGAACAATGATGGCTACTGGTGAGTTAAACACGTGATTAAAGAAGGTTAATTTTTTCATAAACTTTTCAATCACTGATCGATGTACTCTTAAAAATGAATACTTAAAAAGTATACGACTGCCAATTATTATTGAAAAAATAAGCTGGGACAAAGACTAAAAGTTCACTTAGCGAGTCCAAAAAAAGAGAATGACAGATAGGTGAGATCTGTGAACATGATCAATTCGACAATGTTATAACGTACACGATTGAATCATCTTTGTAATCATCTTGGTGATGTGATCAAAGTTTTTTTCTTCCGTATTGCAATATATTGAAATTATCGGTAACTAAACTAACACAACATATAAACTTTTTATAATAATTAATTAAAACCAGTAACATGCTCTGGTCTTAAAAGATGTATGAGTTTCAGTCTAGAACTTCTTATTCAAGAAAAAAAAAAAAAAAAAAAAAAACCAGTAATTTATGTATCCATGAATTTTCATTACAAGAAATCAATTTACAATGTTATTCATTTTCAGATATTTCTGAAATTTTCAGTGTATATTTATAAACTGTATATGTAAATGTTGTTTTCATATGTTTAATTTAATTTATTATAAATTCATATGTTTCTCCCTTTGTATGTTTTGATTAAAAGACCTTATTTCATGATTATAATAATCTTTATGTAAGTAAATGTAATGCATTTGTATGTTTTAGTCACAATAATGAACCTCTGACCAATAAGACGAGTCCACATGGAAAAGCGCGGGACATTCGACCATGCACGCGTCACATCTATAATGAAAGCACGTGAGATGCACATGGGCATGCCAGACTCACACACATTCCTCTGTTACCCTCTCTCTCTATTATCTTCCAAACAAAGTTTTAACTTTTAACTCTTTATCATATTTTATTTTTTGTTCTACAATTTGCTCTATTGTCAAAGGTACTAATCACTTCGTTAACATAATCCAAGATTAATATTAGGATTTTAAATGCAAAAACTCGTTTGATATCTTCTAAAACGAATGAAAGAGATACATGTAGCCCAGTTATATGGTATATCACAGTTTTCTATCTAATATTTCTGTTTATAAAGGATTGGATTATGAAAATTTTCATTTCAAGTTTGCTAGAACTATTAGCCCATTGGGTTTGCTTTCAAACTATTCAATTACGAGTTGGGCTAAGAAAACCCAATTCCGGTTAAACCGTGCAATATATTGAAATTAAAGTGAGCTACGTACATTTTGGTCGTAAACTCCTTTTTTTTTCTTTGTTATTTATAGACTTATAGTAATTGTAAATATTTATTTAACGTAAAGTGAAAAAGCTATCTACTTCACATGTTGATAACACATAGCTTGAACGATATTTACATGAATGGGAAAATTAGGGTGTTGTATCAAAATATCGGAAATGAATATGGAATGATTATATCAAAGACCACAAGAAAAAAGAAAAAGGAAAAAAAACAGTTGCTTGAATTATTAATTAAAAAAATAATAATTTGGAATGAGACATCAGGTGAAATTGTAGGTGAAAATCTCCACCAGAATTGAATATTTAAAAACTTTTTTTTCTAGTCCAGGAATAAAATACATAGCATGCAGCAGCCTTATTTGAGAGACTTGTACGGGTCAAATAGGCAGTGACGTTATTTCATGTTTTAGCAATCTCTGCTTGCCCATGAAATACCACTTTTTTTTTTTTGGTAAAAGAGAGGAGACAAAGTCTCCATGCTTAACTAACTAAAAATAAAATGTAACATTACACACGAATACACCGGGGAAACTTAGTCCCGTTAGCATCGTCCAACAAAAAAGAAACAACTTCATTCGGACAAGAATCAAATAAGTGAAGCCCTAGCGGTAACAAGAACGCATAGTTAGCTAACCCATCCGCAAGACGGTTATCTTCCCTATACACATGAGAAATACGGACTATCCAGTCCCTCGAGAAGAAGCCATGGCACAAACGCACCAGGAAAGAAAGCGGATGAGCATCGCTAATCCCTTTCCGTAAAAAACCCACCACCAACTCCGAATCCACTTCCAACTCCACCCGCCGAAAACCTTTGTCCCAAGCAATGAGAAGACCATAGTAGACTCCCCATAATTCTGCTAGAGGCGCTGAGCAAGACCCAATGTGAAGAGAAAAACCTCCCAACCACAACCCCTCCACATCACGAACCGCTCCACCTGCCGAAGAAAGCGCCAGAGACCCCCGCGACGCCCCATCCGTCGAAATTTTAACCCATCCGTCAGCCGGCTTCTTCCATCCCACCATTCTCTCTACTCTTGCACCTCCACGCAACTCTTTATTCGCAAGAGAATGCGCTTTTACCACATCCGTAGAGAGATCTTTAATAAACCGCACCCTATCCCGACACTTTCCATTCTCGCCGAAAATATTACCGCACCTCCACTTCCACCCCCACCATATTGCCATGCTGAAAACAGTTGGCCAATTTTCCATCCCCACATGCGATCCAGCACTCAAGTTACCAAACAACCACTCCATTAAAGACATAGAAAAAAATTCTTGTCGAGACCGCTGGGGCACCAACCTCTTCCAAACTCCCGCAATTGCGGGGCAGTCTCTTAGCACATGTAAAATCGATTCCAGCCCTCCCTTACACACTTCACACACTTCACTAGTCCCAATATGCCGTCGTACCCGCTCCACATTAGTCATGGTTACTTGGTG